ATTCGCCTCAAAAGAAGCTTGTGAAAATCGACTGTCCCAGTTTTTTGCCAGTAGCGACAAGGGTTTCTATAAGAGAGACATAATGGAATTACCTTCAAAATGGCAACAAGTTATCGAACAAAACGGTGCATATTTGATCTAAATCGGATCATTCTAACTATGCTAAATAAAGCCTTCAATTTCATGCAAAAATAATGGATTTCTTTTTACTACACCTTATATATATACACATATGTATATGTGTGTATGTGTGTTTATTTCATTAGATATAAATTTTCACGAAAAAGATTCACTCTCTTTTCCTGAACTTTTCTTAAAATTTTAAATTATATGTTCTTAGTTTTTACTTTATATTTTCACATGCTACTTAATTCAAGTTAAATTGTATTTCGAAAATTTTCTTACCATTGCCGAAATTCAAACCTGAGATCTTTGGTTCTTGAGTCGTTCACCTTATCTACTGCGCCACTGTCACTTTGACTGACAAGGAATCTTCGGCAACGCGAAAATTTAAAAAAATCTGCTTAATTATAGATTAGTAGGCCCTAATAACGAAACGATTTTTTTGTGCTAAAAACGGTTTTAGGGGTGAAGATAATCCCCTATAAAAAATCGGTTTTTACATTTTGAAGCGAATATAATTGAAACGAAAAGAAATATGAAAAAAAAGTTTGAACAAAAGTTTTATGGCTGCGAATATATTTTACAATGGTGTATCTGGATTTAAGAAAAATAGTAATATTTTTCAAAACACCCCCACCACTTATTGTTTCTTTAATATTTAAAAAAACTTTCAAATTTTATTAAAGCTTATGTTACGCCAAATTCAACCATGTATGATAAAGTATGTATGTATGTATGATGTATGTTCCAATTTCTTGCTCTAAATGAAGGAAAGTTTATTTGTTCCTTTGCTTGTAATGTCCATTTTTGCAAATCTGTCATGAATGATAGATCCTCTAGCAAGAGCTTCTTGGAATTGCATTAGTACATATTCGACATTAAATATAAGTTTGTCCCTGTTTGACCTTCCGCGCATTACATTTTCTTCCCATGTGTGCAATTGCGAAATAGATTTTATCTCAAAGAAAAGAAGTTTGATATTTACAATTCAAAAGAAAATTCAAAAATAAAAAGACTATGCGATGTAATAATAAGTAATGTAACTGTAAGTCTAACAATTAAACATCTTTCTATTTCTATTTCTGTTTATTATCTACTATTTATACAACACACATCTATCAGCTCGTATTATTTTTCTTTCATGTTAGAATTATAAATTTTACCTTTCTAAAACGATTCTTTTGTAATTTAAATTTATATTTCCACCTTCATTATCCACAATACAAACTTCATCTTCATAATTATCTTCTTCAGCATCAATATCATACACGTCCACAAATTGAACATCGTGTTTTTGAGTCGTTCATCTTACCTACGGCGCCACTGTCACTTTGACTGACAAGGAACCTTCGGCAACGCGAAAATTAAAAAAATCTGAAATTTTGCTTAATTATAGACTAGTAATTTTGCTTAATTATAGTAAGTCCTAATAACGATTATTAATCGTTATTCCTAATTCCGTTGGATCGTCAAAATCAAATGCCTAGTTGTATTCAATCTCAACATTATCATTTATGGCATTTTTTATTAGATCGGAAATGGCATCATGAAGTTTAACTTCATGGAGATTAACAGATGAGACACCAAAATTTGCAATATTAAACATTTGCAATATAAAAATTTGCATTATTAAACATTGCGATTAATAAATTTATAATATTTGTTATGTTTAAGCTTCGCATTTTAACACAATTTGTTATGTTATTATCAGCACAAAAATATTTTCCTCTGAGGAGTTAATTGAAATCACCTCTTCGATTTATTTTATATACAGAGTGTCCCATTTTAATCGATCACCTCAAATATCTCTTCAACAGTGCATTTTAGGGAAAAATGTTTCAGATAAAAGTTTTGGGATTTCGAGAGAGATATAAGATGATATCATTGGTTTGAT